TGACACTGTGTGGAGAAAGCCGTAAGGAGTCCGGATCGTTGACTTACCTCCTCTCCCAGCTAGGAAAACCTCCAGAATTGGCACCTGGAATGTTAGAGCTCTCTATGATATAGGGAGAACAATGGAAGTGTCTTTGCACTGGAACCCACAGGGGCATAGGAATAAAGGAAGGCCAAAAAACACACGGAGAAAAGAGCTGGAGAATGCAGTTAGAAAGATGGAGATGATATGGGGAGAGCTATAGGCAATGGCCAAGGATAGAACGACTTGGCGTGAGTTGGTTGAGGGCCTATGCTCCATTGGGAGATAGAAGGGCGGAAGAAAAAGAAGAGGAAGAAGATGATGATGATGAAGAAGAAGAAGAAGAAAAAGAAGAAGAAGAAGAAGAAGAAGAAGAAGAAGAAGAAGAAGAAGAAGAAGAAGAAGAAGAAGAAGAAGAAGAAGAAGAAAAGAAGAAGAAAAAGAAGAAGAAGAAGAAGAAGAAGAAGAAGAAGAAGAAGAAGAAGAAGAAGAAGAAGAAGAAGACGAAGAAGAAGAAGAAGAAGAAGAAGAAGAAGAAGAAGAAGAAGAAGAAGAAGAAGAAGAAGAAGAAGAAAAAGAAGAAGAAGAAGAAAAGAAGAAGAAGAAGAAAAGAAGAAGAAAAGAAGAAGAAAAAGAAGAAGTAGAAAAAGAAGAAGAAGAAGAAGAAGAAGAAGAAGAAGAAGAAGAAGAAGAAGAAGAAGAAGAAGAAGAAGAAGAAGAAGAAGAAGAAGAAGACAAGATCTAAATTTACAGAAGTAGAAAAGAATTAAAGAAGTTTTGAAAGCAGATTGTAGGGTGTTAAAAGAGAGGGGGATTTAAAGCGATATAAAAAAAAAAAAACTTTTGAATTTGTTAAACCAAGAAAATGTTAAATTTTTAGGTGGCCCTGAAAAGGACCTGACCGCCGAAAATCAGTTCTCCACTTCCCGTTAGACCTGCCGGGGCAGTCAGAAAGGACAGTACATGCCCAGTATATGTACGGTCATGCCCTGTCTATTTCACAAAACATGACAACGTAGCTCTTCATACAGACATGCAGCTGTACTCGCTGAAAACCTCGACAGATCTCCCGAGTCCTGGCCGAAGACGCAGCTACCAGCTTTTAGATGGTGCGAAAGACGAATTGCCGGCGGTCAGCTGGTTTCTACTGGCAGTAGTCTGGTGTATGCCTTCTTGCCTTTCTGATGATTTCTGCGTCCTATTCAATAGCTTTAGTTGTTTTACTGAATTGAAGTGAAAGGCAAGATCTGCTTTGCGCTCTTTCAAATGTGGTGTCTAGGTTGATCCTTAATTTTTTTTTTCACTTCTTTTACTCCCTGATGATTGTAACTGATGTTCTTTTAAGTAGAAGGCGGTTAGTTAGTATCTGCTGGCAGGAATCTGGTGTTTGCTTGTCTCCATTTTTACCTCTTTGATGATTTCTTCTTTTTTCTCCTCCATACCTCTGGTTGTTTCGCTGACTTTGCTATCTTTCAAGTGTGGTGCCTAAGTGGGTCCGTAACTTCTTTTACTCCTTTTACATCCAGATGATTTTAACTTATGTTTGTTTGAGGCTATAATGATGCCATGGCAATCGAGCATATACTGCATCCACAGAGACCAAATACAGAGCACACTGTAGGTGACATAAGTGTGCATAAATACTTTCATACGACTTCAGGTGATCCAGGATATATAAACGTACTGACATCAACTGGTGCACATGGGAATGCCCAGTCAGGCGTCTGGTTTGGTACTGGAAAAAGGGGTTCCCAGTGACGCCGTTCCACAGTTAGACGTGCTTGCTTAAATTATTTGGCGAGGATGTCCCAGAAAGCTCGGGGTCGAAAGTATGAGATAAACTTGTCTAACACGCGCTATCAATTAATCACTTGCCGTCTCCACAGTGAGAGTTATTGCATTTCATGTTTAACATTCTCTGTCTGTCTGTCGGTCGATCAGTCGGTTTGTCTGTCTGTCCAATGGGTTGTACAAAAGGATGTTCACTTTTATTAGGCTGTTCTCGAAGCCATTGTTCCATTTGTTAAGAAAACCATGAGTTGTAGACCCTTTGGCTCGGTACTATGGATATCGCAACCTTTCGGCCTTGATTCTGTGATAGATACCGTCCATCTGGGAAATATGTGACTTTTCTGCTCATTTGCTCTTTTATGAATTGCATAATTATCATCCGGGGGTATGGAAATGGGTGTGTGTGTGTGTGTGTGTGTGTGTGTGTGCGCGCGCGCGCGCGCGCGCGTATTTTCGTCTACAGCATGAGTGTCTGCGGTCCCATGACTAGTGAAGTCGCCACAAATTGTTAGGATCCTTAGGTGAGGATATTATTTTTGTTCCCGACAGAAGTAATCCTATCACCTTACTAGGGATTCGAACCAGGGACTTCTGAAGAAAACCCATCATTCTTTGCTCTTCGGCCAGATGCAGTTCCATTTCCAGATAAATCCTAGAAAATTCTGGAAATTGCCTCACAAAAAACTCTACCCCTTGATATTTTTAAACATTTTTTTAGCTAAACACGCATGCTTCATGAAGTATCATACCGGACAATACTAACTCACAATTATTTCTTTATCTGGGAAAAACATTGAAACCAAATAATTTCAGTTACTGGTGACGATGATTCCCCAAGATGAAATAACCAGAATCTGGTGTGCTCGTATTACCGTAAAGTCTCCTACTGTGACGAGCCAGTCACAAATAACATAACCAGAAAGCCGTAAACTTCTACGGGAGAAATTTCACACTTTTGTTATCAGAAGAACCATCTGTATTCAATGGGAAACAACTTGGCGTTGTTGATTGGCTGCCGCGACAGGGAAGGACTCAGTAGCCAAAGCGATCTTGCTTGACCGAGAGAGGCGACAGTCGTAGTCACCGTTGGTCTTTTGTTGATTTCTTGCAGGACCAAGTCAAAGGGTGGAAATCCCTGTCTCAAATGTTATTTCAGGAGCTGCGATTGGTTTAACCTGTTTGAGGAGGCAAGGTGTCTAAACAGTCGAGGACTGTTATCCATTCTGTGAAACACGGCTTGGGAATTGAACAGGTACTTGTAATATTGTTACTGCTTTTTGTTTTCCTAGTTCGAGCGTTGTTTATTTACTTAGGCACTTTCACCAAGGAATGTTTTAGTTGTCTGGTAACACTGGCATTCGTGTTTTAACAGTGTGAAATGTGAATACCTTTCTATGAGATATAAGTTAATTTGTTTTGGCTACAGGTTTTTATATATTCTTCTTCTTCCTCATCGAAGACATTAGATAAGGTGGGTAAGTTGTACACCACCATGACATCACACAAGCGATAAACACCCGGTGATACAAAACGCTGCCATACGGATGACGATCACCCGTGGAGACGTACCGGAAACTCCATTCAGCCTTTATGCCATATTTCAGGCCCGGTTATATTTATGGCCCCGGTAAAAGCCAGGGTGGGGCTTTAAAATGAAAAAAAATTGCATCCAACATGGGGACGACTGCATATGGACGAAGGCATTGGCGATCACAGTCCTGCAATGTTATCTGTCCTTTGATGTATTGAGGACACAAAGAGCCAAAACTGGGATGAGAATCAAGCAGCCATAAGTTCCAGAAACCCTGTTCAACCGTCGGGTTATAAGGGCACCCGACTATAGCCAGGGTGGAGTTTCAAAAACAAAATTGAGTCCTATATTAGGACAGGATTAACATATTTATTACACGCAGTTTCCAGTGTGGGTTCCGGGGTCCTATTATAAGAAAAACAAGAATAGACCCACTGCCTATCCAAAAGCATGTTGTAAGAGCCGACTAATTGGGAGCTTCCTTCAAAGTCGGAATACATCTGCCTGAGAGGCAAGGAATCAGCAGTCTCCATACAAATGAGTCAGATCTGTAAAACGGATGCACACGCAACACTCAGTTTCTGGAACAGGACTGTAGTTCAGAGGTGGACGAACAACCAGAACTTTCCACCGGAGTTTACAGCTGGTGAACGCGAAGAAGAAGATTACACGTAGACCAGTCTGGGTGGGTTTTGACCCTTTAATTGTTCATGTGTACACATTGTTAAGTCGTCCCCTCGTGGGATGCCCTGTTTGTTATTTTGAAGCCCCAGCCTGGCTTTTGCCTTGGGCCCTGAATATAGTCGGGCACTGATTTGGCTTAGCCATAGAAATGGCCTAAAAGGCTTAAAGGGGTTTCTGGAACCTCTTCACGGGTGATCCTCATCCGCTTGGTGGCACTTTGTGTCACCGGGTGTTTGTCGCTTGTGTGTTGTCCTGGTGGGGTACAACTACCTACCTACATACCCATGTCTCCAATTTAGTTCATCTGTTGTGTCGGTGTGGATATTTTTGACTGTATTTCTTCTTAATTCATTACAGAAAACGAAGTACCGATAGAACTTATTACTGATCGCACCACAAAGCACACAGTCTCAACTAATCTACGTTCTTTTTGTCTAAACGACAAATATTGTTTTCGTCGTCGCTACTGAGGGGACACAAACCCAGCTCAAGGTACATAATCATAAAGACAAGAATTGGTTCTGAACAAGCCGCTTCGTGGTATTAATTTACAAAAAGCTGTTTTAAGAATGCTCCACTATTGATGACAATATTCAGAAATAGACTTCTGTAATGTGAATAATATAAATTGACTGTTGATCAAATCCAAACAAGCGAATTGTTAACAATTACCTCTATACGCTATATATATAAAAGAATGCCAAAACAGAAGATTTGCAGATCAACAAAAAGAGACTCCATAATTAATGTGTGTGATACAACAACGTTACCTCCCGCATTTGAGCAAGGGGAAACCCTAGTAAAATCTCCAAGTCTAAATAACGAGCCTCACCGAATTCGTAGCAAACAGAGCAAGAAGCATCAATTGGCCCAACCTGAACAGTATGGCCAAGAAGTTCCTGCTCACCCTTACAGATTTCAACCCTATTCTAACGCTGCAGATGTATACTGTCTGAATCAGTTTGTCAATGGCATGAATACTTCTGGCGGGGGCGATCCTGACTTTTCTAGCGATGAGGAATTCCAAGATCGACATTACAGCAAACACACTGAAGAAACGGAACATGGTAGCCACGAGGAGGGTAGGACAAGCAGCAGTCCCACGGAGCAAGACACTTCTGGTTCTAGATCGAAAGTTCCTGAGGCGGTGAGGCTTCGCATCAACAGCAGAGAGCGTCAGAGGATGCACGACCTGAACTCTGCCCTGGATAGTCTCAGACAGGTAGGAACATTCTCTTTACCATCATCATCATCATCATCATTCTCACCATCATCATCATTTTCGTCTTCATTATTTTTATCAGCATCATTATTGCCATCATTATCAACTTCGTCTTCGTCATTACCGCCGTATACAGGCATATGCAACACGTGAGCTGCACAAAGTGACCACAACATGTATTCTAATTTGTACTATTTTCCCCATGTCGCTAAATTTTCTAAGAAACAGCTCTCAAAAATTTGTTATATTCAAACCTGTCCCTACAACAATTCGCACTATTTTATTATATTCTCCCATTTTGCTAAAGCGCTTCTCACTAATGTGTTAAATTCTCACCTTTCTCTAAAACACTTCTCACTAATGCGTTATATTCTTCCCTGCGCCAAGTCTGCATAAGAAGCAGCATCTCTCACTAATATGTTATATTCTCCCCGTCGCTAAAACACTTCTCACTAATATGTTATATTCTTTCCCTGTCATTAAACTAAGTTTTCCTAAGAAACTGACTGAGTTTTATCTCACCAGGACATCACACCTAGCGATAAACACCTGGTGACACAAAGTACCACAATTCCGACTAGGTTCACTCGGGAAAAATGTACCAGAGCCCATTTGAACCAATATGTTGGGTTATATTAGGGTCTTCTGCAACAGCCGGAGTGGGTCTGTCAAGTAACGAAAATTCTGTCTCATTTGGGAAAGGAGAAGTAATTGTAAGAAACTCTTCTCAATAATTTGTTATATTCTCGTCTGTTGTTGTTGCTGTTTTTTTTTTCTTAAGAAATGTTTCTCACCAATTTATTATATTTTCTCCTGTTGCTGTTTTCTCCCCTCTAAGAAATACTTCTCACTAATTTGTTATATTCTCCCCTGTCGCTAAGATTTTTTTCCCCCTAGGAAGCATCTTTCAGTAATCTGTTATAATCTTCCTTGTCGCTAAGATTTTAATTCCCTAAGAAGCATCTTTCAGTAATCTGTTATAATCTCCCTTATAGATATGTTTTTTTTTTTCCTTTCTAATAAGCATCTCTTAGATTCTACCCTGTCGCTAAGTTTTTATTTAAAAAAAAAAACACAGCTAAACAATTCCTCCCAATCCTCCCCCCAACCCCCCCCCCCTCTCCCCCGCCTCCCTGCCAATTCCATTTCAATTCCCCCTAAAAGGAATACAGAACACACAGAATAGGATTAGAAAACTCAACGGAAGGAATAGAAAAGACACAGAAGATTCAAGCTAAAACCATAACTTTCTTTACGTCCTTTTCAGGACGTAGTTTTTTGTTATTTGAAGCCCCATTTTGGCTTTTGCCAGGGGCCGCAATATAGGCAGGCCATCAATATGGCCAATTGTCTGAACGCGGTTTCTGGGACCTCTCCACGGTGATCCTTATCCGCATGGTGGCACTTGTGTCATCGGGTGTTTATCGCTTGTGTGATGTCCTGGTGGGGTAGAAAGTCAGTCAGTCAGTCAAGCTAAAACCGCCGCGATTTACTACTTTTAGTTTACTAAGTTCTATTTTATCATGTACCTAATTTGCTTCCCGTATCTATCTTCTGTTAATTTGTTTTATTTTGTTTCAAAGCCCCACCCTGGCAAGTTACCGGGGGGCGTAATGCAACCCAACCTACGGGTTAAACGGGGTTTCTAGGACTTGCCCCTGGGTGATCGTCATCCGAATTGTTGCACTTTGTGTCACCGGGTGGTTATCGCTGGGTGTGGTGTCCTGGAGGGGTTGAAATCCTCATCTTCTCGCTTCTCGGCCTTTTGGCTAAGATTAAAACGTAGCTTTGCTGCACTGGGCTGGCCAGGCAGGACCCGGATCAGTCACAAACCAAGTCACAGGTGCCCGTTCAGTCTGGATTACCGGCGTTATATCCGTCATGTAGTCGGGCGGCCAGGCTGGGCATTTGGGAGACCGCTCTCGTAAAACAAAAATTTAAAAAAATATATTTTTCCTGGTTTCTGTCGTGAGTGAGTAAAGACAAGAAAATGACCCTTTTCTACGCTTTTAGGCTAAAGGACATATAGGGCTAGACCTTCCTTTAAAGACCAAACAAGATGGGTGACGAGGTCAGCATCACGCCGGACGCGTTTACTTCCTAGGACTGCACCCGGTACCCACGCAAGGTTGGTTCGACCTGTGAGTAGAGGTCATTTTTGAAAAAAGTCCGGCTCCGCCAGGGAGCCATCCCACGACCTTTCGATCCACACGCTAGCGTGTAGCCGCTACGCCACGGCGACTCCCTCTGTCGTGAATGTAACAGTTCAAATCTCCTACCAACAGGTCATGCCCTACTCCTCTGGCCCAGCGGTCAAGAAGCTCTCCAAAATGTCCACACTTCTGCTGGCCAGAAACTACATTGTGATGTTGCTCCGCTCGCATGAGGAGATGAAGCGGCTAGTGCAGGTATGTTGTATTTTTATTTTTAGTAGTGATCAGTTTTTCATCTAATCTAGGTGCTGGTATACTACGACACGCTTTCTGTGTGTGGCACGTGGAACGATCTTCGATGGCACACTTAGGAAAGTGAAACACAATATACAATCTCATTACAAATATTACAGAGGTATATAATTACTTTATGGAATAAATGCTTTTGTTTTAATAACTTTTGCATACAGTCATGAAGGACCTAGGATCAGTGCTGCCAATGACGGTTTTTACCTCCCGACCTGGTTTTTTTTTTTTTTTTACTTATTGGGTTCAAATGTTTAAATCTGGTTGGTTTTTTATTTAATTTCCTTATACAAAAGTGGGTAAATGTTTCCGTTTCGAAACAATAAAAATTTTGCTTATTAACAATCTGGGTTTTTTAAATTGTCTGTGTGTGTGTGTGTGTGTTTTTTTTAATGTATTGCTTAGGCTTTTGTTCATCTTAGCTGGGTTTAAAACAAAAAAATCCATAGGCAGCCCTGTCTAGGATAGGATACTAGATGTCTTTGTAACATTACCCCCCGCATAATGCTGTGGTGGGGTAAGTGAAACGTGCTCTAGACACTGTCTAAAACAGATTGCAAAGACACAAGACACGTTAGAAAATGGAATGAAAAACGTAAAGTATATGTCAGTTTTACAAAACCACTATTTACGAAGAAAAATATACACAATCACTTGACTGAGATCTCTCAACGAAACATCCATAACAATTCTCATGTCGGTTTGGCTAGATGAAGCTCTGTGGCACGTGTGTATACCAGGAATGAGCACTAAACGTTAAAAAAAAAAGTAAAGAACCCTTTCCACGCCTTTCATGCGTATTGGGTATATAGGGCTAGACCTATATTTTTATTGACCAAACGACACTTGGTGGGTGATGTTGTCAGCACCACACCGGACGCCTTTCCTCCCCAAGACTGTTTCTGGTACCCAATCAGGAACCGAATACCCGACCTTCCGATCCGCAAGTGAGCGTGTAGCCGCTAGAGCAGGGTGGCTCACAGAAATTAGTACTAGCCAGGAAAAAAAAAAGATGTATAAGGCAAGCTGTAGAACTGGATTGAGGTCTGTTGACAACGAAGTACTGGCCACCTGCCGAGGCAACATTACCATCATCATTATCATCATCACCACCACCATCCAGTAACACTGCATGTCGTTGGGTCGTCAGTTGCAACTGACTGTCTGATCAGCTTCTGCCACTTTTGGCGGTCAGATGCGATGGACTTCATGGATGTCTCCTGTCCAGCAGTCAACTTCTGTTCCCAGGTCTTACTTGGTTTGCCCTTTCTCCTCTTCCCCTCTACCGAGCCCTGTAGTATTGTTTTAAATAGGTTGTTAGATCTTACTACAGGTTCGTACCATTGTATTTTCAAGCTTTAATTGAACATTGCTAACCAGGGCTTAATCTTAGCCACTGTATTGTATTGTATTGTATTGTATTGTATTGTATTTTGATCTGGTTACGCACTACTCATTTGCTAACATAGGGCCTAGCCCGTAAATAAGCCCGAGCGTATCTTTTTGTCATGATTCTCGTAATAAAAATGCTGTCCCAAAACAAGATCGTCAGCCAGACGGACCGATAAAGTTGAACCGTTGAAACATACAACGGAGGTACTGAATGATAAAATGTTAGTTGCGAATCCTTTACAGGACGTTGCAGAACCAACCCCAATAGCTTCTGGCTGTTGTGTGGTTCCTCTAGGCAAAATTTACGTACAGTAGTTTGCCATTGCCCTCTGGACGGCCGGTCCCCTGATACCACTGTCGAAACCAACGCAAGGCGTATGGCCCGCAGCTGGAATCGAACCTGGCACACCGGCATTACGAAGCGTTCGCATCGACTTAGCCACAGAGCAGACACTGAATTTTACAATAGTGAATAAATATCTAATAAAAATTCATTGTTGCTATTATTGCTTTAACTAAAGAGTAATATAACTAAAGATTTATTTACCTGATTAATAAAACATAAAAAAAAAAAAAGATATCTCCCCTGAAAAGCTCTATAGTGAATTTTGGAGGAGAACTTAATTACTTCCTTATTTTCTTTCGTCGGTGTGGCGTAATTGCATTGTGCATATTTACAGCATAGCTGCGATATTTGCGTTTTTTGGCCTGCCACCTAACTTTATCGGATATTTGTTCACGGTGTTAGCAATCCGGTTGGCATCGTGGAACATGACGTAACTCTATTTCTTGTGGCCTCTTCGTCCCTTAATCTACAGGATTTGCCTCTGGAGAACCCACCCAGGGTAACCTCGTGTAGGTGGGACGGCCTTCAAGGGAAGGCTGGAGCAAATCGTGGCACATGATGTAACTCTATTTCTTGTGGCCTCTTCGTCCCTTAACCTACAGGTCTTGCCCCTGGAGAACCCACCGAGGGCAACCTCGTGTTGGTGGGACGGCCTTCAAGGCAAGGCTGGGGCAAATCGTGGCACATGATGTAACTATTTCGTGTGGCCTTTTCGCCCCTTAACCTACAGGTCTTGCCCCTGGAGAACCCACCCGGGGCAACCTCGTGTTGGTGGGACGGCCTTCAAGGCAAGGCTGAGGCAAATCTCCGCTTTCCAACGAGGCTTCTACAAATGCAGGGCAGTCACACGATGCTCTGGTTTAGGGAGCACCGAAGGAATCGTCACGTTCTGCAAGTTCTGATTGTTCGCCCACTCCTGGACTTTAGTCATATTCTAGAGCTTGAGAGTTAGGTGAGCATTCATTTTACAGATCTGGCTTATTTGTGTGCAGATTGTTGGTTCCTCGCCTCTTAGGTACATAAAATTCGACTACGAAGGAAACATCGCTAATTCGTCCACATTCACAACCTGCTTGTTAGGGAGCGACGGCAACTGTGGCTTGAGCGGTGTGAATGCGCTTCGTATTGCCGGAGTGCCCTGTTCCATCCCAGCTGCAGGCGATTTGGCAGCAGACCATCTTGCGTTAGTTTCGACAGTGGTATTGAGAGTAGACTGCAGTGGCAAACTACTGAACGTAAAATTTGCCTGGAAAAACCAACCCAGCTAAAAAAAAACTGGTGTTGGTTCTACAACGACCGTTTAAGTATAAGCAAAAAACTGTCTGTTCGCGGCAGAGACTCAAATTCCTCACCCCACCCCCACCCCCACAAATGGGCCCTCCAACCTACACAGGGAGATTCAAGGACAATTTTCTTTGTTCCAGCTTTTTTTCTCCTTGAATTGCATTATTCAAAGAACTTAACAAGATGTCACAGACACGCGACTGCTTTCTTAATAAATGTCAAAATGTCGAGTAGATCGACTTCCTTGCACAGGATTCTGTTTCACACGGCTTGATCTCTTCGCGCAGAATCACGCCGCACCTGTTGAAACAATTACCCTGAAAGCCCTGAAGTCCGTATCTCCAGCGACGATCCATAAAAATATATGTTAAATAAAGATTTACTTGTTACTAATCAAGATTCTCGTTGATTACAGTTCATTGGGGCTGTAAGCATAGTTCTACAATGGTGGCATACCAAAGTTCAAAGTGATCTGCTGGCGATTGATAGGAGACCGATTTGTAATAATCTTGATAACGTCTTAGGGTCAAGGAAAGCAATGGCAAATTACTAAACATAATTTTGCTTAGTAAAATAACATCATAGCAAATCAATGTTAGGGTTGATTTGAATGTTATTTAAAATAATATGCAACTATCAGAAGACAAATTTATAATAAACGTTATATACATTTGTCTATTGTTTTTCTTATTTTCCAGATGTCAGCTTCTCAGCGACCACTACCACCTCCACCTCCTCCTCCACCAACGACACTACCACCGATACCATCATCAACAGCACCATCAACACCTATATCACAGCATCATTTATCTATTCCATCGATGCCCACGGCGTTATCATCACTGCCACTGATGTCAACCCCATCCGCTTACGCTGCACTGCTGTCGTCGCATCCCACTTCACCAGGCGGTTTGTTTTTGCCAGCATCCTTTTTCCATCTTCCACAGCTGCTTCCAACAGCGGCGATGGCACATCATCATCCTCCTCCTCATCATCACATCGCAGGAATACCTGGCTGTCCCTGCTACTACTGCAAGAAAATGACACCCTCAGTTCCCCAGTCATAACAAACATTTAGCAATCATGGTTTAGTTGAGAATAAGGAGCTAAAAAAAAAGATGCATACAGATTCAGACGAACGCCACAGAGACGAAGAGATATTTGCAAAAATAATGGAAAAATTTGTTGATAAATATACACATGCAAGGAAAGAATTCCGAGAGATGGAAAAAACGCGTGTACATAAATTAAAAAAAAAATACAAGTGTACAGAGATAAAGAGAATCTCCACACAACCTCCCAAGATAAAAACAAACTCCCAGATATACAAAAAATACACATGTACAGAGATAAAGACTAACTCCCAGACATAAAAATACACGCGTACAGAGGTAAAGACAAACCCCCAGATATAAACACAATACACGTGTTCAAAGGTAAAGACAAAGTTTCAGAGGTAAAAGAAAATACACGTGTAGAGAGGCAAAGACTAACTCCAAGATATAAACAAAATACACGTGTACAGAGGTAAAGACAAACTCTCAGAGATGAAAGAATGCACGTGTTTAGAGGTAAAGACAAACTCTCAGGTATAAACAAAATACACGTGTACAGAGGTAAAGACAAACTCCCAGATATACAAATACACGTGCACAGATGTAAAAACGAACTCCCAGATATACCAATACACGTGTACAGAGGTAAAGAACTCCCAGATACACAAATAAACGTAGATAGATTTAAAGGCGAACTCCCAGATATACAAATACATGCGTACAGGGGTAAAGCCGAACTCCCAGATATACAAATAGACGTGTACAGAGGTAAAGACAAAGTTCCAGAGATCAAATACACATGCACACAGGTAAAGACAAACTCCCAGATATACAAATACACGTGTACATAGGTAAAGACGAACTCCCAGATATACAAATACACGTGTACAGAGGTAAATACGAACTCCCAGATACAC